ATTCGCGAGCGCCGATGACCGATGATGCTCGCGACCCTCCTACGCCCTTGCTGGCTTGGTAATAGGCCTAGACAAGCGCAGCCACGTGAGCCGGCGAAAGAAAAATGCTCGGAACGAGCTCTTCCACCCCAGAAACCCGGAAGGATCCGCACATGTGCAGGAAGTGCAGCGGGCGCTCTTCATTCGCGAGCGCCGATGACCGATGATGCTTGCTACCCTCCTACGCCCTTGGTGGCTTAGTAATAGGCCCAAACATGCGCAGCCACGTGACCCGACGGAAGAAAAACGCTCGGAACGAGCACTTCCACCCCCAGAACGCGGAAGGATTCGCACATGCGCAGGATGTGCAGCGGGCGATCTTCATTCTCGAGCGCCGATGACCGATAATGGAAGGGCGCTCGCGATTGAAGAGCATCATCAGTCATCAGCGCGCATGAAATAGGTGGAAGGGTTGCGAGCATTATCGGTCATCGGCGCTCGCGAATGAAGAGCGCCCGCCTCGCTGCACTTCCTGCACATGTGCGGATCCTTCTGTCAGAATGTTATTAACTAGCAGCAGTTGGGATACATATAGCAAACCCTAACAGGGTTGTACTCGCTATAGAGCACCCCACTACAGGCTAGATAATAACATTCTGACACACCCCCATAGCCAAAGTGGGGTGTAATCAGCAGAGCACGCAGTCATAGAGCAGGTTCACAAATGCAAGCAAAGCTAGAGGCTATCACAGAGGGCAAGTGAGGAGGAGGAGGAACTGTGGAAGGAGAGAAGATGGGAGGCAACGACTGAAGCTGCAGAGGCACGGGCACAGGAGCGGCTGACTCAGTGGCTACCGAAGCAAGGGCGACGGACTACTGGAGTGACTGGCTCCGCGGCTAAGACGAGCGGCAGGAGCAACGGACCCACTGGCGACTGGTGCAACAGGCTCACTGGCTACCGAAGCAAGGGCGACGGACTACAGGCGCTGCAAGCGACACGACAGCTACCTCCACACAACCTCCTCCAACTGACCCACACCCTTGACACACACCCCCTGCTGAACCCCTAACTCCACTCCCACGTCACCCCCCTAGCACCACTCCTTCGGCTCCCACACACCCACCCCCCTGAGCGGCAGCTGCAGCAGCGGGAGACGGAGGAGGAGGAGAAGTAGTGGAACGGCGCACAGAAACTGCACCCCCATACCCCCCACCCCCAAACCCTAATTCAGGAGAACGGGCAGCAGCAGGGGTGGGGCACCGTCAGAAGCACGGGGGACAACGAGCAGCTCAGGGGCAGAGAGGAACGGGCCGCCCACGGGCCTGGTACAGCCCGACGAACCGCGCGCAGGCGGACCGAGCCGCGCGCGGGCCTGGCGCAGCCCGTACGGGCCGCGCGCGGGCCGGGCGCAGCCCGTACGGGCCGCGCTCGGGGCTAGCGCAGCCCGCGGCGCTGGCCGGGACGGGCGACGGGGGACGACGGGCTGGTCCCCGTCGCCCGTCGAAGCGCCCCCCAGGGGCGACGCGCGGACCGACGAGGTAGAAGGCCGCCGCGCGCCTCAGGGCGCACGGCGGGCAGAGAACCGCCGCACGCCCCGGGGCGCACGGCGGGCAGAAAACCGCCGCGCGCCTCGGGGCGCACGGCGGGCAGAAAACCGCCGCACGCTCCGAGCGCGCGGCGGGAAGAAAAATCCGTCGCACGCCACGGGGCGTGCAACACACAGCGTAGCAGCGGAAGCAGTTAGGTGGGCCCACAGGCCAGGAGCGTAGATGCTCTGATAGCATGTGAGAATAGTGAGCATAGTGAGGAGCCATAACTAGGGTTTAGCTAGCTAGGCAAGAGAGAAATGAACAAAGGAGAATTTCACTAGCAGCAGTTGGGATACATATAGCAAACCCTAACAGGGTTGTACTCGCTATAGAGCACCCCACTACAGGCTAGATAATAACATTCTGACACCTTCCGTGTTTTGGGGGTGCAAGCGCTCGTTCCGAGCGTTTTTCTTCCGCCAGATCACGTGGCTGCGCTTGTTTGGGCCTATTGCCAAGCAAGCTACATGATCACTTTTTACCCTCACAGTTTTTTTTGCACCTTTTGTACCTACCTGTATTTTTCATACCCTCACCAACAGATTTTACCTTTACCTAAGATTCTGCGGGAGTACTAGGCTGATCATCTGTTTCCAGCAAGGATTCTGCTGAAACATTTATGTTCATTTTTCGTGAGTGACCATACTACTGTATTCTGAAACAATTGTTTCCGTAAGCACTTGACTAAAAACCACCCAAATATGGTGTTTCATAGGAACGTTTTGTCGCTTAACTTAAAATTTACAAACAAGGATTGAAGTTGATACATTTGAATGATGGTATGCTCGTGATATATGTGCGGTGTTGCAATTATGGTGACATGAAATTGCAACCCAAAAGGTTTTAGATGGCAAGGAGTGTAATATTCATTAGTTGTTCAGAATGCCTACTCAAGTGTTTCCAGAAGTTATCTAAACTTGGTTGGTGTACCTGCCTGGAACCAGTTTCAGTAATACAGCAAGATCAGCGAGAGATTTTATCCAGACCCGGAAACGGTGATTTGCCGTTGCACACGTGGCCTTGAATTGCTACCGTGGTCATACAATTCGATGATAATTGCTCGAGTGGTCTTGCCAGAGGTTTCCTCTGGCATTTTTTTTATCCGGCACATTACCCAAAACCGGTTTTTAGCCCTGAAATTCTTACGTCAAACTTGTCACTTCCCGCGAAAGTGTGACGCACCCGGAAAGACGTGCACGAGGGCGGCGCCGTCACTGTTCGGATACGCGACAAAAATCAACACGGTAATCTAGGCAAACAGTTGCGCTCAATTTCGGTCCATATCGTAACCAATCCGCGCATAGTTATATGATTCCCCGATCATATACTCAGTTGCACAGATGTCAGTACGCGCGACCAATTACAGAGTGCGCTTGATTCGGTGACTTCATGCGTTGGGCCTTTTCTGACCTTGCGCGTCCAATCAGACGCGGTCATGTAAGATTGCGCTCATATAAAACCGCATATTTACCTATATGAGCGCGCATATGTTGTGCTCGAATGTGTGTGTGATCTGTTTTATTAATATAAAACTATGTTTATAAATTTGAGAGACGTTATCACTACCTGCGTTTTGCCATTATACTTACATCAAACTGTCAATACCTATATCGCATAGCGTGATATAGGTATAATGGCAAAACGGCGGTAGTGATAATGTCTCTCGAATTTATTAATATAGTTTTAGATTAATAAAACAGATCATACACACATTCGAGCATCACATATGCGCGCTCATATAGGTAAATGCGCGGTTTTATATGAGCGCGATCTTACATGACCGCGTCTGATTGGACGCGCAAGGTCAGAAAAGGCCCCGCGCATAAAGTCGACCGATCAGGCGCACTCTGTAATTGGTCGCGCGTACTGACATCCATCCAACTGAATATATGATCGTGGAATCATATAACTATGCGCGGATTGGTTACGATATGGACCGAAATTGAGCGCAACTGTTTGCCTAGATGACTGTGCTGATTTTTGTCGCGTATCCGAACAGTGACGTTGCCGCCCTCGTGCACGTCTTTCCGGGTATGCCACACTTTCGCGGGAAGAGACACGTTCGACGTAAGAATTTCAGGGCTAAAAACCGGTTTTGGGTAATGTGCCGGATAAAAAAATGCCAGAGGAAACCTCTGGCAAGACCACTCGAGCAATTATCATCGAATTGTCCGACCACGGTAGCAATTCGAGGCCACGTGTGCAACGGCAAATCACCGTTTCGGGGTCTGGAGAAATTCTCGCAAGATCAGCACATTTCTCCTCAGCGGGTGTCAGAAGATAATTTCCTAGACCAATCAACGACGAGTAATAGCACAGGTGCGAGAATGGGAGACTTCGCCATCTTCGCCCATTTTGCCCAGCCCTTAGCCATCCACAGACTAGAGTCTGAGAGTGGATCTGCTCAACCTTCAGAGCTCAACCGCAGCTGCTTGCCTAGATTCTTTATCCACGGCTGAGATTCACTTCGCTCTTAGTGGTAGGAACGATAGCTTCGAATTCAAACCATTGGGCTTGCCGCGTTCCAAACTGACACGACGACTCTGCGCGTCCAGATCGGGCGACAATCGACAGTTCCTAGGCCACGGGGTCCAACTTTCACCAGCGAAATCCCGCTGCTCCCGCCTTCGTCAACGGAATCTCGCTGGAAAAAAGTCGGTGTCGTTTGTCTTGCGTAGCCGCTGAGGTGAAAGGCGGGGACAAGCGAACAGTGTAAACTTGGGGATTTTTCTTTTCCTTCCCTGACCGGCTGATTCATGTCACACGCGGACGATTCTCAACCAGCCATCGATGTGGACTCTCGAATCTCCCTGTCACGGACAAAAATAAAGCCTGACCGGAGCGACCATTCGGAGCCACTGTCACTTTTCCTCGCGACCCAACACAGCCGGTTAGCCTTTAGACCAATGCGGAACTTGCTAGGGTTGCCGTGACGAAACACGCAAAGGTCTGAACCTACGGATGAGATCTGAGTTACCAAGAGAGTTTCAGTCAATTCAGTGGTTCTGGACGGTAGATCTGAAGAGGATTGTTGTGAGGAGAGGAGACGAGAGGAGAGGCAGTTGGTGACCCCTCCGCCTCATTCCAGTGTGACCGTCGTCTCTTGTCTCATTCTTGCCTGAGCCTCGGATTTCACACCGCTTTCGCCTCTTGCTCTCGTTTTCTCACGCTCAGCTTCTTCTGCTCGTTTTCTTAGAGCTGCTGCGACTGCGGAAAGGCGAGCCGCTAGGAATATCATTTTCTATTCAGGCCTGGGTTGATGTAGAAGTTGCGTTAACGGGAAGAGGAATTCGCGTGTCGGGAAGAGGAAATGGCGTGTCGGAAAGAGGAGATCGCATGTCAGGAGAGGAAATGGCGTGTCGGAAGAGGAAATGGCGTGTCGGAAGAGGAAATGGCGTGTCGGAAGAGGAAATGGCGTGTCGGAAGAGGAAATGGCGTGTCGGAATAGGAAATCGCGCGTGAAGCCTGGAAACTTTGACTACGAGAGGACTAAGTGCGAGGATGGCGATTTTCGTATGGAAGGTATGTCTGAGTGCTAGTGCTTTTCTCCACGTATATCCGAGTCTTATTTAGTGGTGTAGTATGCTTTCGTTTTAGTACACGCAAGATTGTTCAGTGGCGCGTCTGACGTGACGACGACTGCATGTTGCAGGTTTGTTCCGATCCGAGACGACGTCGCTGAATGGGAAAAGAACATCGTCTCGTCCCTGGGACAAGTAGCAGGGAGGCCACATGTCGCTGAATCATCCTCTCGTTCTCCGTGCGATTTCGGGGAGTCCGTGCGAGTTACAAATTCGCTTTGTCAGGGCGGGCACCAGGAGCGCGGGCAGCGGGGCAGCAGCGCCGGCCTCATCAACGGTTGAGGTTGCAGTATCGCCCCTGCCACCACACTCCACTCGAGCCCACTCCCCCTCAGGTTCAGGTTCAGGTTCAAGTTCAGGTGCAGGTTCAGGTTGGTAGCGGCTCTTGTGGGGTTGTGGTTGGCGTCACATGCACTGTCGTTTCTGCTGTTGCACGTGTGTTTCTTACTTTCGGCTGCCTTTTCTTTCCACCCTGCCCTCCCTCCCCTCCCTTCCCTGCCAGGCCTTCACAAGCCAGGGGGAGGGCAGCAGGCGAGCAGCAGGCGAGGGGAGCACCAGGGCGGGCAGCAGAGGCGGGGAAGGCAGCAGAGGGATCACTGGAGGAGAAGGGGAGGGGAGGGAGGGATGAGGCAACAGCCCTGTTGGCGGCTCTTCATCTGCCAGTTTAGTCACTCTTCCTCATATTCGTCCCTCACCTTTGCTTGTTGTGCATTGTTCATACTCCTTGCTTTCTCTTTGCCCCTGAAACTTTCGCCACTGGTTGGGGCCAGCCTTACAAGCCACAGACTCTCCCACTGACTCAGGTAAGCTCTCCTGCTCAGGTTCAGGTTTGCCTACAGGCCCCTCAGGTTCAGGTTCAGGTTCAGGTTCAGGTTCAGGTTCAGGTTACCTCCTTAGGTCCCCCTGCAGTCTGTGCCTTGTGCTCATGCCCCCTCCAGTGGCCCTTCCCCTCTATCGCCCTGCCTGTGTGACTCGCACTTGGCTACTCTGCTGGATGTCAATACTGCCCACTGACCAGCTCTGCGTGTGCCTTGCAGGTGGAGGGGAGGGGCGGGGGTCAACACCGACGCTCCCTCACGCCCCTCCCCTGTGGCCGTGCAGGTACCTGTGGGGATGGGAGGGAGGCAGCACTGACTCTCGTTGCCACAAGGGAGAGCATCGGGGTGGGCTTGGCCCCTCAAGGTACGTCAGCCTCTCTCTTGCCCTCATCCCTCTCCCTTTCTGCTCTTCAATTTCGCCTTCTCGTTTTCCTCATCTTTTGTTTGTTTTCTTGCTAGTCATGCCAGCTCACTTGCTCTTACTTCCCCCCTTTCTTCCCCCCTTACCAGGTCACTTGGCATCGAGTGAAGACTGCAGTGGTGCTTCAGCTGCCCTCTGCTCGCTCTCACACAATCAGCTAAGTGTCCCTTCCTCCATGCCCTCGCCCTTGCTGCTGCCATTTCGTTTGTCGCATCTGCTTTCGCACCCTTCCTCTTGAAGCAGTGCCACTGGTTGGGTCCGCCTCACATGCCACAGACCCCCCAACTCCAGGTAACCCCTCAGATGTAGATCAGCTGCAGGTAACCCCTTCAGGTGCAGGTAAGCCCTTCAGGTGCAGGTAACCCCTTCAGGTGCAGGTACCCCTTCAGGTGCAGGTACCCTCTCAGGTTCACCCCTTGGGGTCTGTGCTTTGTGGCTTGGCCTCCACCAGTGGCCCCTCCCTGCTCTCGCCTTGCAAACTCTCTGCTCGCTCTTGCACTCTCACCCTTCCTCCCCTCGCTGCCCACTGACCAGCTCTGCGTGTGTGCCTTGCAGGTGGAGGGGAGGGACGGGGGTCAACACCGACGCTCCCTCACGCCCCTCCCCTGTGGCCGTGCAGGTACCCGTGGGGATGGGAGGGAGGCAGCACTGCCAGTCGCTGCCACAGGGGAGAGTATCGGGGTGGGCTTGGCCTCGCAAGGTATGTCAGCCTCTCCTCTCTGCCCTCATCCCTCTCCCTTTTAGCTTTTCATTTCGGTGTTCTCGTTTTTCGTCAACTTCTGGTCATGCCAGCTCACTTTCTCTTCACTCCCCTCTTTTTCTTCCCCCCCTACCAGGTCACTTGGCATCGAGTGAAGATGGAGCGCTGCCACTGGCTGCCACAAGGGAGAGTATCGGGGTGGGCTTGGCCTCTCAAGGTACGTCACCTCCCCTCTCTGCCCTCATTCCTCTCTGTTTCTCCTCTTCAATTTTGCTCTCTCGTTTCTGTCAACTCCAGTTTCTTTTGTTTTTACAATCATGCCAACTAACTCACTGTCACTTTCCCCCTTTCCTCCCCCCCTACGAGGTCACTTGGCATCGAGTGAAGACTGTAGCAGAGAAGCTGAGTAGCAGACCGGCAGCAGCAGTTGCAGCAGCAGCAGCAGCAGTAGCAGTGGGGGGTGGAGGGCTAGAGGGCAGGCTAGGCTGTGAGCGAGGTGTGGTATGGTATCAGGTGAGGTAACAGGTGAGGTATAGAGATCTGATCCCCTCCTCTCTTCTCTCCCCCCACCCCTTGCAGCCTGAGAGGGGGAGGGAGCACTCGAGCATGGGCGGGACAGTGGCATCTCTCCTCTCGTTCCCCCCTCCTCCCCTTTGTCACCCCTTGTTGCGCCCAGAGGAAGGGAGGAAGCACTGGAGCAAGGGCGGGACTGAGGCAACTCTCCTTTCATCCTCCCCCCCTTCCCTCTCCCTCCTGCCTCCCCACTTTCCAACACGGCTGAGGCATCATGGCGCTACGCAAGGTATGTAGAGGTAAGCAGGCATGGGGTGAAGGGGCATGAGAGGAGGGGGGTGGGGGGGAAGCGTGGGAGCAAGTGGGCAGTTCACTTCCTTAGGGGCAGCACTCTCTGAGGTTGTGTCTTGTGGGTCGGGGTGTGGTGGGTGGAATCTGCGCGGCACGGCACTCGGTGCTCAAGTAACTAACCTGACGTTAAGGCTTAATGGGCACCGTCAGAGTCGACCGGCCGGCGACTCTGGTTCGCGTCAGCTCTAGCTACGTCAGGGGCAGGATTTGAGTCTTGGGCTGGAAGCAATTTTCCACTACCACACCTCGCCCTTCAAGGCACAGCCCCTGGGGGTGCTGTTTCCGAAGGGGAGTGGGCTGTCTGCTGCTCGTACTGCTGGCAGGAAAGGTGGGGAGGGGATGGGTGGGGAGGGGATGGGGTGATGGTGGTGAGAGGCAGTGGGGTTGGCGGTGGCATATGATGAGCCATATGGCACTGATGCCACCCTCAAGCATGGAAGCATGATGCTCATGCTTGGCTGGTTGGGGGCACATGATGAGTTGCACTGATGCCACCCTTAAGCATGGAAGCATGATGGTCATGCTTGGCTGTTTGGGGGCACATGATGAGTTGCACTGATGCCACCCGTGCATGGAAGTGTGATGCTCATGAGTTGGTGAAAGGGGCTGAGTCCCCTTGGGTGGGTGAGAGCAAGTGAAAGGAGCTACGTCCCCTTGGGTGGCACATGATGAGCTGTATGTCACTGATGCCACCTGTTGCATGAGAGCATGATGCTCATGCTTGGTTGGTGGCACATGATGATCTGTATGGTACTGATGCCACCTGTTGCATGAGAGGAGCTGGTATGCCCAGGTTTGATATGTGACTTTATGGTGAGAGTGAGAGCACAGTAGGTTGTGAGGATGCATGGTTTGAGTGGTGAGTTTGAGTGGTGAGAGTGTGGTGAGATTGAGTGGCCAGATTGGTAAGAGTGTGGTGACACTGAGTGGTGAGAGTGAGTGGGTACAATGAGTTGTGGATGGGTATGGTGAGGTTGTTAGATTGAGTGAGTGGTGAGAGTGGGTGGTGACAGTGGGTGGTGAGAAAAGGGCGATTTTCCTTGTGGGTGGGTAGTGTGGGGAACGAAGGTGGTGGGTGAAGGAGCCAGGCTGATTGCCCTGGGTGGGTGAGTCGTGGTTGGGTGGGTGAAGAAGCGGGTAGGTGGGTTGGTAAGTTTGTGTGGGCGGCTAGTGTGGGGAACGCAGATTGAGTGGTGGGTGAAGGAGCCAGGGCTGAATGCCCTCGGGTGGGTGAGTAGAGAAGGAGCTGAAACCCCTTTGGTGGGTGAGTGGAAGAGAGCTGGAACCCCTGGGGTGGTGAGTGGATGAGAAGAGGGTTGAAGAGCCTGTGGTGGTGGAGGGTGAGTGGAAGGGAAGGGGGCTGAAAGCGTGAGGTTGGTGGTGGTGAGGGGGTGAGCCCAGTGCTGTGCATGCTGGGCGGGCGGCAGATGATGAAGAGGCAGCAGCCCCCTGATGCCTGCAGTCCTGTCCATCCGCCCATCCTCTCCACCTCTCCTGCTCTCACTTGCACCTCTCCCAGCCCCGCCTTGTGCCCTGGGTGAAACACAAGTGGGTATGTTTGAGCCGCTTGTCGTGTCATGGGAGCAATGGCAGCCCTGCCATGGCATGGGGGAAGTGGCAGCCCTGCCATGGTATGGGGCCAATGGCAGCCCTGAGACACAGTGAGCCCCATTATCACTTAGGGCAATTGCGATGGTGGTCGTAAGTGCACGAGGAGAGAGGGCAGCAGGTAATACCGTAGGTGGAAGGTACAGACTTTCATAGGTGAAGCCATGTGCGATGGCTTCGGGTTTGGATTATGCAGACATGGCATGTTACATTTATGTTTTGCGGCCTTCGCGTGTCGGAATCATGGTGCCTGCGTAGCACATCTGAAGATAACGGTTGTTTTGCGGCATTCGCGTGTCGGAATAGTGGTGCGTGGCATATCTGAATGTAACGGTGACATGCCAGGGACTTGCCGCCACTCATGTATTTTGTGCAAATGTACCTTCCATATCATGCTCTGCAAAAGGCCCAGCAGTCTGGAAGGACCTTTGCCCAATCCTGGCTCTTGTCCCGCTTGAATGCTGTGGCAATTCAGCCGAATGTTGTGATTCATGTTGTAATAGTGATTTATGTTGTAATATGCTGATATATACATCATGTACTGGAAGTGAATTATACTCTTATGTTAGGGAAAATATGTGAATGGTAACTTTCATGGGGCACTATAACGCGTACGGTAACGATTTCAACGCATTTGGTAACTCGCTTAACGCGTTTGGTAACTCGCTTAACACGTTTGGTAACTCGCTTAACGCGTATGGTAACTTAACACAGGCGAGTGATCACGCGAATGGTAACTACATGAAATTCCCGCCGAAATGATCCTGAAATCGAGGAATTTATCGAGTTTGAAAGCTTTTGCACACTATTTTATTGTTTTAAACAAGTTCCGCTGCGACTTTGAAGGACCCCGTTTGTTCTATTACCACGGACTGAAAAGTTTTAGAGCTGTTTTTTATATATACATACGGTAGCTCGTACGAAAATGGTTAAAATCATATTTTTGGTAGCATGATTGCGAACTTGCAAAATGAAAAAAAAAAACATTCCGCGAAAGGACCTCGGGGCTTTTACTTTTGTAATTACTGTAACGTTGGCCATTTTTTTGCATGTGAAAAAGATACACCTATTTAGAATTACACGTTTCATTAAAAAAGAACCATAAACGCCTTGTTGCAAGGAGTTTATGGTTGGTGCTCTCGAATTCATTTGCCATCTGAAAGGGGTATAGATTTGTTTGCCCCGGCTGCACGATAGAATTTAGTACAAACAGTTAGTGGAAAGAGCGCAAGAATATCAATTATGTATAAATAGTTG